GACCCTCTGAAAATCACTAAAACGCGGAAAACTCATAACCGGAAGTGACGTCATCAAAACCAAAAAAAATAGTTCTAGTTTTTTTCATGCTCTATCAGTCCTGAAAGTTTCATGAAAATCGAGCGAGCCGTTTTCGAGAACTCGCGTGCACAAAATCGGTAAGAAAAAAAACAATAATAATAATAATAATAATAAAAATAGTGGAAAAGAAACCTAAGAATAACAGTAAGGTCTTCCGCTGAAGACGGAAGACCTTAATAAAAATAGTGGAAAAGAAACCTAAGAATAACAGTAAGGTCTTCCGCTGAAGACGGAAGACCTTAATAAAAATAGTGGAAAAGAAACCTAAGAATAACAAGAAGGTCTTCCGCTGAAGACGGAAGACCTTAATAAAAATAGTGGAAAAGAAACCTAAGAATAACAAGAAGGTCTTCCACTGAAGACGGAAGACCTTAATAAAAATAGTGGAAAAGAAACCTAAGAATAACAAGAAGGTCTTCCGCTGAAGACGGAAGACCTTAATAAAAATAGTGGAAAAGAAACCTAAGAATAACAAGAAGGTCTTCCGCTGAAGACGGAAGACCTTAATAAGAAACAGAGTAAAAACAATATGTTCCCCAACTTCGTTTTGGGAACATAATAAACGTCTAGTTATACGTTACACATTATAGTTAATATGTCAGCGTGTCTTTGTTTCTGTGTCTGTCCAGAGGAATACACGCCTCAGTTACAAAAATAATTAAATTATATTACCTGAGATAAGCGAATTTAAAAAACATCACGTATGTGTTTAATAAATTTTATTGTGGCGAAAATTGGGCACGGCTGTTTATCCAGAGACACAAATTATAAAAACCTATTGGTATTTCTGGCAACACAACAAAGTAACACTAATAAAAACTATAACCTAATAAAATAGTATCTTAAATTTTGGTGATGAGTAGATCAACAAAACAAGTACGCGTGTATATCACTTCACATATAGAAACCAGAAATATATAAGCAAAATAAATAAAGAGAAACAGAAGTGTTTGGAAATAACGAACAGTATTCAATCTCAACGTCCATTAAACAAATATACAAAATAAGAGCAGAGCGAACACGGACCTCCGAAACATCAGAGGTGGGATCAGGTGCCATGGAGGAGTGAGCATCCCCTGCCGACCGGTCACACCCGCCGTGTGCTCGTTGTCATAATCAGGAAATAACGTAAAAGTTAAAAATTTAGAATATATTCTAACGTATAACGTAAAGGTTAAAAATTTAGAATATATTTTATATCCGAATTAAAAGGAAACTGTATTAACATTATTACTTGAAAAATTATTACCTATGTATTGGAATACAGTCGTACTGTATATCAAACTAAGTGTACATGTATGACCATACAAAGTTGAACATTTTATTGAACAAGTACCCCTTGAATTTCTTTGGGTAGGATAATGTGATTTAGAAAAAGCATTCCCTATTGACTGTTCAAATTTGCCTCAAGCCCTATATATATTGATTGATGAAATGAGATATTGTGTTGATATTTTGAATAAAAACAAGGACCTACCAATTGGTATGAACGTTAAAATATGACCTACTTATGGGTTAAATTTACTAACACGGTCAGTATAACGGCAAAAGAATTTACAAAATCTAAACTTTAAAGAATGTTAATCTGTGTTTAACAAACTGAGTTACAATTCTGGTTAACAGGTTGGGCACAGTTCCTTTTTCGGGGAAGTATTACTGTAAAAGGGAACTATTACTCTTTTCAGTAACAAAAAACATTACTGAATTCGGGAATTTTCACTCATTTAGTCTCTATTCTTGTGCTTGTTTTTAATTAAAGATAAAGTGCAACAATATTTTCACATCCTCTAAGTATTTATTGTCTATTAAGTATATGTGTGCTCAAAACTGCAATATTTATGGCTGCAAAAAGCTGAAAAAGAGTGATGAAATATTTCTATGATATAGATTTCTTACGGTAGCTTACCTGCGTTAAAATTGTGATAATGGATACGTTCAGCACTTGCTAACTCGTTCATGAGATTATTCGTTCTAATTTAATATTATACTATTTCTTTAAATGAAATCGTAATAATAATTTTGAATATCATTTCTTCATTTACAGATGAAAAAAAATATTTGAAGTATTAAATTTTAAATGATATTCTTTTAAAATTGTCCTGGAATGACTGCCCTTATTAGATTCCATACTTTTGGTACCATTATCAACAGGGACAATTATTAAATCTCATTTTACTCTCGTCTGCAGCAATGGAGGTCCGAATTTTTCAGTCAGCGAGGTTTGTTTGATAAAGATAAAACACATCACATTGTATTTTTTATGCACTTTTTATTTAATAAATGAATTAGATGCATTATTTAAAAAATGTGACAAAAATTCCCCAATTGAGTAATGTTTTTATTACTGAAAAGAGTAATAGTTCCCTTTTGTAGTAATACTTCCCCGAAAAAGGAACTGTGCCCAACCTGGTTAAAGCTATTACTGATTAGCAAACATGGCACATTACGATTGATTTGGAAATAATGTTTTCGTATACCATGTATAAAGCTAGCTAGCTTAGGACACCCTACCACTAATATTCAGAGTTAGGAAATACGCCACACTTACAGCAAGAAAGTAAATGTTGTTCAAGTTAGAATTTGTACAAGAAGTATTTCCAATCAATGAACAGTTGGAGCCATAAAAATTAATACTCAAGAAGTCTTGTGATTTCAAGGTTTTGCCAAAAAATAATTCCAATAAATAATTGTATACTTAGTGAACACTAGTGAACTTTCATGCTTCGCTGATTATATATTATATTCTTGTAGTATATGAAAATAAAAGTTGTGAATATTTGTACAAAGCATAATAAATTTTTTAATTATTTGTTTTTTTTAGATAAATTAAATGATACTCAGCTGCACATCATATTTTGATTTTATGATGTATGTGTTAAGTTTAATTTTGAAAATTAAACTTAAATTCATAAAAAAAAAAACATTGAAAAATAATTAGAACATGTAAAGACTACGATGAAATAGGTGCAGATCAAATAATTTTGTAGTGAGTGTGGATTTTGAATGTTTAGTGTATGTAAAGGATGGAATGAATTATTATTCATGTACAACCATGCAGCCAAATGTAGGTCATGATCAATAGTTTATTATTTTTTTTTATTTAACCACGCAGTTTGTATAATGTAAATTAAGGGCTATAATTCAAATATAAGGGCAATTGGCCATTGGGCAGCCGTATTTTTTTATGCAGTGTGTATGCAGTGTGTATGTTTAGTCTATGTAAAATAAGGGTTTTTATCAAATACACCAAGGGCAATAAGAACCCAGCAAAGAGTATGCCCCAAATCAAATATTCAAACAACAGCAAACAACACATATTCACAACATTAATCATAATTTTCCTTTTTTACAAAATTTGATTTCATATAAATAAGAAAAGTTCTTTCATAATATATGGTATCTGCAAAAAGCAGGAGGGGGAGCATCATGACATCAATATGTTTTAAAAATAATATTTTTTTAATTATAACAAGGGCGATAACTTTCGCTATAATAAACATATAGGAAACAGATTTCCGTTTCACTATATTAAATGTTGAGTTAGGGATTGTAACAGTCACCAAAGAAAAATAAATAAATAAACTTTTTTCACTAAACCAGCCATCTTCTGTTTTAGTTTCAAATTATAGTGGTTCAGCAAAACTTAATTTAAGTCAGTAAATTTATGTTTTTGAATTATTTTTCATTTTTAATCGTACCTTGGATTGTTTATTTTGGTTTGTCTGCATAGATAAATATATTCAAGTTTCTATAAATATCATGTCAGTAAACATTTCAACTTCTTTGAAATAAATTTTGCGCAAATATCAAACATTCATCATTGATTCCCAATTTTGTAAGGAATGTTTACTAAAAAAACCTTAAGTAATTATTTTTACGCATATCCAAGAAAATCAGTTTTATTAAAAAATTAATTTCCAGACATGTATAAAATTACTTATTTAAAGGAACTTGCTTTGATACATCTAGCTGAGACGCCGTTGTAACGTTGAATATTGACCCTAGTTGAAAATTGAACCGGGGGTCATTTTTCAACGTTGAATATTGAACCAGGGGTGTTTTTTCTCCGTTGAAAATTGAGACCAATAGTCGTTGAATTTATACCCGGGGTCATTTTTCAACAGCTTGATATTTTTTTTCTTATCCCTAATGTCCTTAACAAGTTGAAAATTGACTCTGTTGAATATTGACCCCACCTCAGAGTTTGACCATTATTTGAACTTGGAGATTGTTTATATGGGATTTATCAGTATCTCTATACTAATATTTCGGTTTCAATTTTTTCCAAAGTAATAGAGATCACTCTATCAACCCGTATATATATATATATATATATATATATATATATATATATATATATATATATATATATATATATATATATATATACTTTATACAGGGAATTTTCGTCCCGTTTATTTTCGCCCCTTTCGCCCTCTTCCTGATTGGGCGAATTTAAAACAGTGCGAATTGAAAGTACACAGCATAATTTCTAAAACAAAACTTAGACTGGGCGAATTTAAAACGGAGCAAAATATTTCGCAAGTGCAAAAGGGCGAAAATAACACGGGGCGAAAATAACCCTGTGTACAGTATATACTTCCCTTAACCTGCAAATACAAGAATAAAAGGCCGCTTGGCAATTCAATATCGCAATTTTACTTTAGATATGCAAAGCAGCTTATCCAAGTCAATAATTAGACATTTTTCCCCACTGAATTTATCCCCAACAACCATTTTCTACAGTGCACTATAAACTGAGAGACTGCATTATCTAGTTGATGACCTTTTTTTTCACAAAAATAAGGCTCTATTGAAAGAAAGATTATATTAACCTTCATTACTAAGTATTATGTTAGACCCTTAGGAACTAAATTTACCTGAAAAAGCAACTTTTGAACACATGATTGTCATTGAAAATAAACAAAAGGTAAAATTGCCCTGGCGGATATTATGATGGGTTTTGATGAAAGAGCAGCCCAAACCCCATCTACGGCTTTAGATGATGTTACTCATAATATATGTTGATAATAGCTCTGTTTATCAATAATCATTTAACTTTTTGGACAGGCAAAAACTGAAGAAAGTTGTCTTCAAAGACCTTGTGATCTCTGCCTTGGCATAGGAGAATCAGTAAATGCCATGCTGGTTTGTAAACAAGAGCAGATTTACCTTTGTAATCCTTGTGGAAAGCGTCATCAAATTCAGCGTTCAACCAAGTCACATGTTGTCATTGAAATTAAAGAATATGAAGAGAACAAGTTATTTTGCGAAATTTGTGAGAGTCAAAATGAAAAGGTACCTGCCTATGGATTCTGTGAAACATGCAAGGACCCAGAATATATGTGCCAACCTTGCTCAAGAAGACATACAGCATATAAGATGTTTAAGAATCATTCCATCTGTACCAACCTGGATGAAATGAATTTAATGGAAACAAAATATGCAGAGGTATGTCCTCTCAATAATTATAAAGTTCTCAGATCTGTCAGCTTGCGTACTTGTGTTTTAGTGGTCTTACGAGGGGCATTTCAAAAGTTCTGACAACTGTTTAATAAAAGATTAACCGTTTTGCGGAAATTATTGAGTTTGATATCATTGGAAAGATTAGAAAAATATACACATATTGTGACGTCACTTTATAATTTTTATGACGTAATAACTCCGAAAATGACGTCAGAATATAGAATGTTTAGAATACTGACCCCAAAAATGACGTAACAAAAGACAATTTGATCAAATTAAAATTTTCAAGCCAACTTTTGCTCATTACTCGGACGCAAGTTAACGGACGCAAATGCCAGTTGGTGGAATGTTTACATAGACTACAATCTATCATACGGTATTTTATTTTGGAGACCTTCTTGTTCTGAAATGGTTTTAGCGAGTGTCAAATTTAGCATGGTTGTATCGAATCTCGCTCAAACTTTTGCGTAGAAGACATCTAAATTTGAGAAAAAGACAAAGTTGCCAATCAAAGAAAAATAGGCGATCGTGTTACAAACTAAGATGGCATAAATTAACCAGATTTGTGGGATCGATGAAGGCTCAAAAGAAGTTAAGTTTAGTGTGACCAAAATTTTCTCGTAAAATTCAAATGGCGGCGGCGCAGTTGTAACTCCACCGTACCTCCACATATTCGCAAATTTTAATGCATGGAAAATTAATAAGACTTTACATGTCTGAGTAACTTATATTCATTTTTTGGTTTCAAAAGTCAAAAGCAGTAGTGAGTTTTGGGGCGCCAAAGTTGAATTTATATGAAAAAATACGCACAGAATCCATTAGGGGACAAGATTTAGTACAGTTTATTCGTAAACGGTAAGAGTCCTGTTAATCAAAATATATTTGATGAAAACTACATTAATATACTTCAGTTTAATACAGAACAGGTTTTATTTCAAACAATGGAGAGCTATATAAAAGACCGAAAAGTCAGCCGTATCATGTAAATAAAAATCTTAAATGAATGTCTATAATAGCAGAACCGGATATAAACCGTGCTCGTACACACACCATACAATGAATAATGGAATTGCTGACAAACAATATCATAGTCCTAATCTACTTCTTTTCAAATAAAAATTTTCTTTGAAAAATTTTTTTCAAATAAGCCTTTGACAGAACTTTTACGATTGTCTCATGTGGATAAAAACGCGACTTTTCAGTATGCTTAACATTCTATATTCTGACGTCATTTTCGGAGTTATAACGTCATAAAAATTATAAAGTGACGTCACAATATGTGTTTATTTTCTGATCTTTTCAATGATATCAAACTCAAAAATTTCCGTAAAACGGTTAATCTTTTATTAAACAGTTGCCAGAACTTTTGAAATGCCCCTCGTATTTACCTTGTTCGTGGTCTGCTATCCAAGAAATGGATTTTTAAGAATTATAATTCATCGTTTTCTTCATATCTTATTTGATAAATCTTGACATTTTACACGAGCATGCACTGCCTCATATTACTTTGTTTCTAAGTTTCTCTTGTAGTGGATGTTTCATTAAAACCTTTATGAATGCTGATATATAGTTTTCAAGAAAGTAAAAACTATTAAAAAAAACAAATAAAACGTGTTCTGGTAATATGTTAATTTTGAGGACAGTTTTGATTTGATATTCGAGCTAAATTAAAAATTGATATTAAAATGAGGAATTTACACGCTGAAACAAGTATTTTTTTTTTTATTTTTCAGGACACAATGAGTGACATAGATAGAGATACAAAAATATTCAAATGTAGCCTATGCACAAATTTAGGAGAAAATCGAATTGCATCCTGTTTCTGTACATCTTGCGAGACACCGGAACCATTGTGTGATGTTTGCGGTCGACATCACATTCGACAGAGAAATATGCGCGACCATTCACTGTCACATGACATGGAAGCTTATAACTCTTTTCTAGAAAGTAATACAATCAACTGCGAGCTGTGTCTGATTGATGGTGATCGCAGATCTGCTAGTTCCTTCTGTCTCACATGCGAGGAACCAGAGGCACTTTGTGGCGCATGTGCATCTCAACATATTAAACAGCGAACATTCAGAAATCACCAGATCAGCAATGATATAAGGGGATTACTAAAAAAGGAGAAACTCTTGTGCGAGCCATGTACTATTGAAGGAGAAAGAACTCCAGCTGATTCATTTTGTAAAGACTGTGATGAACCAGAACCTTTATGCAATGATTGCGCGCGTCAACATGTCAAACAACGACAATTTAGAGACCATACAATTTGTGACGATATAAGTCAAATTCCGCTAAAAGTAAATGAGAAATCCAGTGTTTTATGCATTGTGTGTAAGGAAGAAGGCACGAATACGGAAGCTACTTGCTTTTGCAAAGATTGCAATGACAAAGAACCTTTGTGCCCAGATTGTGCTAGACAGCATACGCGACAGAGTTTCCGAGGACATAATTTGTGTACAGATCTTTCACTTTTAAGAAAACTAGGAAAGGAAATGGTTGTTTGCTATACTTGCAAATTAGATAGAAAGGATGTACCTGCTGATGCATATTGCAGGGATTGTTCAGATCCCCAACCATTGTGTAACAGTTGTGCCGGTCATCACGTTAAACAAAAACTATTTCGAAATCATAACATCGACAGGAATATTTCTTCTTTCATTAATTTTATCAATCCAGATGATGCAGAATGCGATATTTGTAAGATCGATGGAAAACGATCAAAAACTTCAAAATATTGCAATAATTGTGATGAGCATCTGTGTAAAGAATGCGTAGAAACACATCTTAAATTCAGTCCTAAGCATGAAATCACTGATAATGTAAGCAACCGCTTCCTTTGCGAACCTTGTGAAAGGAGAAATAGAAATGTATCAGCGGATTCTTTTTGCGAAAATTGCGAGGAACCTATGTGCACAACCTGTTCAGAACAGCATGTGAAACAGAAACCATCTAGAGACCATGTTATTTCCTCGAATATGCTGAAATATTTCAAACCAAAATGGGAAAAAAGAAATATTGAAGAAAAACCAGCGGAAACGTTTGTACATTTTTATTATTTTTCTCTGCTTGAGTATCGAACTCTATTTTCTCAGCTATGTTAAGGACCGATATGGAAAATGTGACCTTTGCGCCGTTTTAATATGTATTACTTCTTTTTAAAAAATATTACAAAGCAACTGAATACTTGTAGAAAATGTAATATAGCTATCAATAATGGATAAGACCGGGCCGTAGTTATTACCAGTTATATCGCATGTATCAGCTGTTTGTCACGTGACTTGTATAAAAATAGAATTGTGAAGCTGAATGTAGGAATTCGAAATGAGGATAGTGCAAGGGCATACTCTTGTTTTTCATGAAAAAAAATTGATACACGTTAAAAGATGTTTATATCCTCTATCCAAAAAGTGCTGGGAGCTAGTCTGTGCTGTTTACGAAGTACTGAAAATTTTGCCGTAAATGCTTATAACAGCTAAAAATTTCCACTTCGCTTAAGTTTTGTTATAAATAAAAATAATGTTATGCAGACCAGGATCAGCTCCCAGCACTTTTCCAAATAAATACTATATGAGCAATAAGTATTCCAAATTTCAGCTCAAACAAAATAGTCTATGCCCTTGCACTTTTGATGTAAATCACGAATATGCTTATCGTTTTAGCGATATTCTCTACATTCCTTGTCCCTGGGCAGCTCCAATGCTACTAGATAAATTCACATTCTATACAAATTGTATTTAATAAATTATTTTCTTTTAGTTTTAATGATTAGGTCTAAAAATTAGCAATGGTATCATATCTATTTAAGCATTCTTGTAATTATTTAACCAGTGAATCTAGGCCTCTGGATCACCTGTGCTGCGTCATGTCAAGGCTGATGACGTCATATTTGACGCATGCCTTTCTTCTATTACTCGACTGTATTGCTATCAAGTATTGTAATTTTACAAGTTTTATAAATTATTGATAAAATAAATAAATTCAAGTTGCTATTTACGCATGATCATGTCGTTAATTAATTTTTGTGGCTTGTCATTTCAATGACGTCAGAATCAAACTTCCAATACAGTGTGCAAGGAATGTGAACTCTGACCTTCCTTAACATAGCTGAGTTCATTATAATTTTATTTGATATAGATTTTTTAAATAAACCCTTTTAATACATATTATTTATTAATAGGTAGCATTAATTATTGGACTGTCAAGCTATAATTCAGAATAATTTAAATTGAGTTTTGAGTCATCATTCTGATAATTTACTACCTATTTTCAACAGACTTCATACTACAGATACTCCAATGAAAAGCAAAGAGGAAGACATGATTGAAACAAAGAAAAGGGTACAATAGTTATTAACAGTCAACTTTTACTTTATATTTTAAAACCATTTATTCTGAATACAAGAAATGCGTTTAATAATTTTTATTTATTTTTTATTTTTTGGTTTCATTCTAGATACGTGGTAAACCTAATGTTTTAAATATAAAGTCTGATTTAGTTGAGTTGTATTGGGAAACTTTAGAAGAGGAAATAGATTATTATCAAATAAGGTTTAAAAGCCTAAAAGGTAACGACAAATGGAAATTTTGCAATACGAACGACAAAACTAACAGATTCTCAGTAAGTGGACTTATGGCTGATACCCCCTACGTATTCCAAGTCCGTAGTGTTGCCAACGACATAGAAGGAAATTACAGTGAACTTAGTGAACCCATACAGACAACCAAATCCTTAACAACTAAGATGCTAAATTTCTCTACAAAAATTCCTAATACAGATCCAATGAAGTATCAATTAGCAGCTGACGAAAATAGAGAGGCCCGCAATTCCTATGCAAAGACAAGACAATTAACTTTAGGTAAATCGCCTTTACTGGGGTTCATAACAAAGTAAAATTTCAGTTTTGTTTAATTCCTTATATTTCACTATTTAAAATTTGTTTTGATTAGGAAACCCTGCAATAGGAACTGAATTTGAGAAAACCATGATGCTTGTCGGTGAGACAGGCTCAGGAAAAAGCACATTGGTGGATGGCATTATCAATTATATATTGGGTGTCAGTTTTGAGGACCCTTTTCGATTCACGCTGGTTAACCTAGAGCAAGACGAAAAGAAGACTGAAAACCAGGTAAAATTAATGTGTTCACTGTTTACATGTACATGTACAGTGTATTGAAGACGGAGAAATTGCAAATGTTCAGTTCAAAGAAAATGATGTAAGATTATATTGCAAAACGACTTGAAATTTAAAATTAAATTCATTTTCATCGTTAAACAGATTTAGCTTAATCTTTAACAAAAAGGAAAAAAATTTTGAATCTCAAAAATTCACTTTGATTCTTCTCTTTTCTCTGGACATATTACGTATACATTTTACACCGTATAAACCGAGGTACCGTCTTGCAGTAGGTGCTGGCATTAAAATATCCATCCCTGCTCAAAGGTTTTAAGAGCCTAGTATAGGACAGAACTTGTAGCTCTACAAGGGAAAATGGTGGCTGAACCTATGAGTATTACTTACTCGATTACTGGTTAATGTCCCCTGGTGAAACATGCTATTTTTATGAAAGGTACTAACTAAGAGATTTCTTAAGAAACTCAAACACTCAAGTTTAATATATAAAGGCTCAAATATCATAAATATTTTAGGTCACCAGAGCAACTCGGGTATCTATTGCTATTCGTTCTTATATTTCGTCTTTCGTCGTCCGCTGGTCGTGAAGTTTTAAACATGTTTAGCTTTTCAAATCACTGAACCAATTTTAAAGAATCTATGGGTTAAAGTGTAGATAAATTGTGAAATGTATGGTCCTTGTCCCCCTCAAACTTGAGAGGTGGGCTTTAATCCACCGTACATTAAATCTTATTCTTTAGTCCTGGACAGCAAGCGATCAAACTGTTGGCATGATTATAATAAGCATTGAGCCATCTGCATTAAAGTTATATTCATGGCCCCAGGGACAATGGTTCTGATGATAGGACTCTGCTTAATTGTAAAAGTACGTAATTTCTCTGGAAATCGTCTTCGCCCCAACAGTGTATTATTTAATGAACAATTAGCACTTTCTTCTATTAGCATTCAAAAAATAAACTAAAAATATTGAAAAACAAAAAAGTTTTAAAATGCAACTTTTTATCTTCGCATCTCCGAACGACAGGGAATATTAACAACGAACGAAACGTCGCGTCTTGGGTAGTATTTATCACGATCTCTAATTACTGAAAGTTTTCATGTTGACATGTTTGCTGTTTTTGAGTTTAGCCGTGGACAAAATGTCATTTTAATTTCAGAAAATTGTCCATAACTTGGCATCGGAAGCGAATTTCCAAAAAAATCTCCCGGATATATAAAATTCATGTAACGACACATCCCTTGTGGCAATTTCACGTCATTTCAGCTGGTAATATTCGAGAAATCGCGTGCACAAAATTAGAAAGTCAAAAAGTAATAAAAGGAATAATAAGAAACAATAGAATCACTATAAGGTCTTCCGTGAAGACGGAAGACCTTAACTAGGAACGATATCGTTGCGAGGAACAGGATGTCTTTCGTCCGATCCAAAAAATAAACCTAAAATCGAGCTGAAAATCTAATAAATATTTTATGGAAACATTGCTAGTTGAAACGGGTCACTAGCGTAAAAATCAATACGCTTATTGATTACGCTATTTGAAAACTACTCTAAATTCCCTTGTGTGTACATGTAATTCTGCAACAGTTAATCTGTCTTGTATTTATGAAAGGAGGGTCACTTTTCATAATTTCGCGCCAAACGCCACGAGTAAATTTTATCGCCTTTCCCTTGAAATGTTCTATTAAAAAGGTGAGATAGCTTTGACCAAACCAAACAGCAAAACAGCGTTCTTATCGTCTAAATTTCGAGAAGTGGAAAGTATATTTAACACATACATGGAACATATCGTATATAGGCAAATAACACTGAAGCAGTGAAACAGCTATGAATGTTTCATTTTTCTTTAAATTTTCCTGTTAATCACTAAAGTGGATTATTCCGATTACCTACACTTTCATGATAAAGGTTGTGTGTTTCACCGAAAAAAATGCCTCGATCGCCCTACGAGGGTCAAGGAATAAGATTCCATTATGTTTAATAACTTGCATTGAGAAAAAAATATTTATATAAAAAGTCATATAAACGGTCTTTGAAAAATAGTTGTCTTTTAAAAAAAAGACTTATGTAACAGTTGTCTCTTCTATTAATTTAACGCAAGTGTGCAGGGAAAATAATGGCCACGTTTTATACTTACCCAGTCAGCATCAATATGTTGGCCCAATGTAATGCCAGCAATATTCATTTTGTTGGCCCAACGTTGCATACCAATGTTGGTTCAATGTTTAAGTGCAAAGTGGGCTTATGTTGGGCCAACGTATTGGCTTTACGTTGGCCCAACATTAGACGCCGATTGCATGGATGTTGGCCCAACCTTGGATATATATTGGGCTTACGTACTACACTACAAATATTGGTCTTATGTTGGCCCAGTATGTCTTTTACATTGGCCAAATGTGTCTTTTACGTTGGCTTACAGTTTCTTTTACATTGGCCCAGCGCTCCTCTAGCTTTCATTGGCCCATTGCTTCTCTGATGTTGGCCCGATGTTATTTTAACATTTGCTCAACGTCTTTTTACGTTGGCCAAAAGTTTGTTTTACGTTGACCCAGTGTTCTCAACCAATGACTCATATTTCTAATTTCCAATAAGTGGAAGAAATAACAAGAATAAGATAATTTGATACGGTTTGCTACTTAAATCATTTTAAATGAATTAGAAACACTAAATCAAAAATTAAAATTAAGAACTAAATAAAAGTCAAAGGGTAATAATGATAATTCACCAGATACCAAAAAATTAAAAGTCATTTCAAGGCCATTCATCGGTTGGTCTCCTATTCTGCTGCCGTTTTTTGCTTCCTCTCCTTCCTATCCCCATCCCTATCGCAAGAGTATCGTAACCAGTCCTATTCAGCATCTTCGATATCTTTGTCTTTTGCATCTTTGCAACATCCATTCTGTCAAAATAAGATACTGTGATTTTATTTGTTATTTGAAAAAAAAAATGTTTTTAATTTCTTAAAACTGCACACTACAGAGATCTACTTTGTAGGGTAATTTTATGTCACTAGGGTGATCTGCCCTTAGAAGTAAGATAGAAAATATTGTTTCGGTATTTACACAATTTATGTTGGATTAAAATATATATTCTAAACATTATATTACACAAACTTAGATAAACAAATGTACAAATTAAAATACAAATGTGTTTTTGGTTTACTTTACTTGCAATCATTTCGATGACAAGATAATTATTTGTGCAACATTTTGTCAAAAGTATGAAAAAATTGTAATCTTAGCTCAATAAATTAATGTGACTTTGATGCATTACCCCTCATGTCTGATCTTTGACAATTAGGTATATTTTTCCTGTTTAACTAAATTTGTAAGTTGTCAATCCACACACATACAAACAAACAAACCAAGATCAGTATATCTTTGGAGTATAAAATAATATTTTAAAGATAAGTATAAAAAAAAATAAATACTCACACAGCTACACATCTTTCAATGAGAAAAAGGAAAATGCTCTCTTAATTATCATCCCTCCCTAGCCAGGTCATTTTCTTTGCAACACCAATGTCTATCATTGAACTCATAATTCCCCGTACACTTTGTTTCGCATTGTCACCTCTAATCTTTCTCCGTTTTCTTACCTAAAAGTACCATGTGATTTTTTTAAATGCTTAATGATATTATCATAGCTTCTCAATAAATATTTCAACTATTTTTATTCGTTTTGTTTATAATGGGTCGGTTTAATGTCATATGATTATTTACAAAATTAAAAATGTATCAGACACAGAAATAAGAAATTATGAATGTATTTGGGAATCACACATACTTGGACTTTTCCGGTTAGTATCGGAAAGACCCGAGATCGCTGCACATTTTTTTGGACTTTTTTGTCTAAGACCTTATTGAAAGTACAGAATAGTGGTCTAAGGGAACTAATATTATACAACTGTAGTATTTATACCACCATAATTCAAAGATTGTAGACAAGGAAATAGATTTACAAGATAATGGTATCACTTATAAAGATTATACATACATACATGCACTTGTCTCTATCAACAATGATCGCCCCCTCCCCACGTCCCCCCATGCATGTGCGAAAATGGAGCGTTGTTGCGCGTTTTAATGAGTTAATAATTATATATACAGTGTATATACATGTATTTTACTTTAAAGGACAAGAGTTTAGATTTATCGATTTATCCCACATACAAAAATTTAAACCAAAAATCAAATATAACGAGAAAAGAATATGCATACATGTACTGATCGAATTTATTACATTGTAGATCAAAATTTTTCCACTATGTTATGATCATTGATAGAAAATTTCCTTTTAAAATACTCATGCACAAAAAAAAAATCAGAAATACTCACATTTTGCTTTAACTGCGTCTATCCTCAAACAAAATTCAGTCCTTTGTCTTTGTTCTCTACATCTTTCGCGCAAGGAACATGAGGAAGGCTGACCTCTATTTAACTCAAAAACTTAATTTATTGCCCTCCTGGGAGTGACATCTTTCAAAGCAATAGCAAGTACAGCTGCAATGCTAACATTGGCTTTACACTTAATGTGTCTTCTACAATGTTCTCGACCCTCATCCAAGAATTTCTTTTAAAATTCTTAAATTGATACGTTTGTATGCAGTATTACTTTTTGGCTTTCACAGGGGGAAACGGTATTTTTTTAAAATTGCAACAATATAAATTCGTGCATATAGCCAAGATATGCATATGTATTTCCCCCCCCCCCAATAATATATATAATACGTTAATGATATCCAATAAAACCAAAGAAGATTTATTTAATATAAAAATTGCACAACATTATGATATATGTGTGTGCATGATACAGGGAGAGACAGAGAAAATCGTTGGGTGTAGTACTTAACAAGAGCTTGATATAAACCTTGGGCCAACGTTGGACCAGCTGTGTTAGCCTTATACCTTGGCATAAAAATATAGAGATATGTACCTGATTAACTAGTGTTTGTTAAGGAAATGTAATTTTTTACCATTAGCACAACAACATTTAA